TGTGTGTGTGTGTGTGTGTGTGTGTGTGTGTGTGTGTGTGTGTTTGGCTGCCTATGAAGGCCAGAAGAGGAAATCAGATGCTCTGGAATTGAAGTCATTGGTAGTAGTGAACTACCTATCATACTAGGAACTAAACTCTGGTCCTATGGAAGAGCAGACAGCACTTTTGAACCCCTTAACCTCTGAGTCATCTCTAGGCTATTTTATTCCAAAGGTTTTGTTTTACTCATAATTGTAGTGGGGGTACTAAAAAAATAAAAAATAAAAACCCTGGAGTATTTTGAGTGTATAAACAGCTGGCTACTTTGTTGTTTATTATTGTTGTCAAGTATATAACATACTGTAAATAACTCTGTGCACTGTCTGCTTACACATCCCACAGCCCAATAGGCTTGTGCCACACCATGAACAAGTGTGGGATGTACCATCATGGTGTGACCACTATGATATCACCAGGCAACTGAATTCTTTCAGCTCATTTTAATCTTATAAAACAACATCCAGTCTCTGAAATATCATGTTATGTGGAAAATGGCTCTATTTCCTTAGCCAGCTGCTCTTAAGGAAAAGGTTCCACTTTCTGGTACTGAGAATCTGTTTAGCTTATCAGTCTGTTAAAACCTGTCCATATCTGAAGGTGTTAACAGCCAGTGTGGGGAAAAATGACAGTGGATGGGACAACATGGAGGAATTTAATGGTGGTGAGCCTAAGGAGCAGGAGTTTTGATCATTATGAGCTACTTAATAATTAAACATGTGTGGAGATCCTGCTGGGAAATTTGCTGAAGTTGAAAGGGGAAATTAGATCCCTAAGCAGGCTATCTTAAAATTTCAGGCTTTTTCCAGATACCAACTTGATGATGCTTTTGTAAGCAGACAAACAGAAATTAGATATATTTATGATGTTTTGAAATGTGTACACATTGTGAAATAGCTTAGTTAGACTAGTTAATATGTGCTTTTGCTAGCATAGTCATCAGGTTGGGGAGTGAGAAGATAGAAAATCTCAGGATTTTCACAATGAAATGAGTTATTATTTCCTGTGAGCACAATGCTTTCAGCAAGCATATTGAAGTTATTCATCTGACCTGGTTGAAATATTGTATCCTTGTTATACCACTCCATAGCCTCCAGCAACCAGTGTCCTACACTTTCATCAGTTCAACTTTAAGGAATTCCATGCACATTTGAAATCTGGTGGTACTTATCTCTGCCTGGCTTCCTTCATGCCACACTCTCCTCCAGGGTCCACCATGCTGTGAGAAATGATGTAATTTTCTACTCTTTCGGAGCTGAGTAGCCTTTCATTTTACACAGGAATACAGACCTACATCATATCTTCTTTATTCACTCACTTGTTGCTGGGACAGGTTGATCCATGTCTCATGTATTGTACATCACACCATAGTGAATGTTTAAGGAGCATAAGGAACACACTGATTCATTTCCCCCGGATGTCTACCTTGCAGAGGAACTGCTAGTTGATACAGTGGTTGCATTTTCAACTTGAAGAGAAAGCCCTGTACTGTTTTACACGATGGCTTCACCAACACACATTCATGTTGATGTTGTACAAGGGTTTATTGTCCCCAACCCATATCTTGCATCCTTGTCAATAGTTGCCTCTTTTTTTTTTTTTTTTTTTTTGGTAACAAAAATCCTAACATGCACAGTGGGCCATTTCTCGTTTTAATGTACATTTTCTTCATGTCTAGTGAGCTATGTATTTCCCTGTACCTGTTTGTCATTTGAATGTCTTAAAAAAATATATAGGAACTAGTTATTCCTGTCCTTTGCCCTTTTTTAGACTTGTTGCCCCCCTTTTTTTGCTACTGAGTTTTAGAATTCCTTATATACTTTGGATATCAAATCCTTTTTAGCTATACAGTTAACAAGTTCCCATCCCATTCCACAGATGGTCTTCTCACTTTGTTGACAGTTTCCTTTACTGAACAGAAGTGTTCTAATTCACATTCTCATTTGGAACTTTTTGGTTATTTGTCTTATTTACATGAGAAATACTGACGATAGTTTAGTCAAAGATGATCTGGGGGCTGGCCATGGTTTAGCAGGTGAAGATGATCTGGGGGCTGGCCATGGTTTAGCGGGTGAAGGTGTTCTGCAGCCCAGCATGATGAGTTGAATTCCATCCACAGGAACCCACGTGATGAAAGGAGAGCACTAACTTTTGCAAGTTGTCCTCTGATTGCTACATGTGCTCTGTCTCACACATTCTCACAAGCATACACAGACACAGACACAGACAGACACAGACACAGACACACACACACACACACACACACACACACACACACACACAGGTGTGAGTGAAAAACATTAATTTAAAAAAGATAGATGATTTTCATATGTCCTGGCAGCTGAGCTGATATTTATTTTAATCAAAATAAAACCATAAATATGAGCTTGTAAAATAGTATTTTTAAAACTGTTATCTTAATGGCAATACCATTCTAAGTACTTTATAATGCATTCTCTCCCTCCGGCCCCCTCTAGTTTAGACTGGTTTGGGACTTATGATCCCCTACATCAGCTTCCTGAGTACTGCATGCATGTGCCACCACTATTGTCATTATCTTCTCTGTTTGAAGTGAGTTATATTTATATTGGTGAGGAGACCATTTTCCAAAGGTGAAGTGCACAACCTGTCCACCAGCATCATTTATAGGGAGTAGATAAAGAAGAGAGGTGCGGAGAAGGGAGAGATAAGAAGAAGGGAAGGGAGAAGAGAAGAGGGTAGGAGGGGGAAGTGAAGGAGGGAGGCAGAAGGTGAGGAGAGAGGTGGGGGAGTGGAGGAGTGCTATCATCAGAGCTGCATTAAAATGGTTTTCACTAAGAGTTAACAACAGTGTGATCTGAGGCAGTGGAATGAGTTTGAATTTAGAATCTTCTCGCAGAGTATCAGTCTAGCCTCTGAACATTTCCAGAGATTGCAGCAATTGCCATGGCTGCTACAGGCAACAAGAGATGGGAATGTTGCTTTTGTGATGCACGGAAGTGATAAAGTAAGGGAAGCAATACAATCCTATGTCACCCAGAAAAATAGTGCAGCTGTGGGCAGACTCACAGCAGACAATGCCTTTGGAATTTCTCTGCTTGAACGACTTCTAGTAAAA